TGCAAGCTGAAAAGCCCCACCAGAAAGACTGGGGTGCAGCCTGGCATCATGCACAGGGTCCCACGGGCCCTGAACTTTCCACCAGAAGCAGTATGGACTGCATTAAAGCCCTCATCTGCCAAATGAGTTGACGTCTTGCCAGGCTTGTGTATGCACCCATGTCCCTGGGAGAAAGCTTCCTGCTGCTGAAGCGGTCGTCAGTGTTCAGCTGCAGATGCAACGTTACGAGAGCAAGAGCAGGGTTTGGTAATTTTCTATGAGTCCCAGCACACCAAGACGAATGTCGCTGATCTCCAGTGGCAGTTGTGTTACCGACTCTGGCAGGGATAGAGTTCAGCCCTATTTGAATGGCCTTCCTGGTTTTCCACACAAAATCCGTCTCTGGCAAAAGCCCTGTGCTGTCCCAATGGCCCAGGACACACTTCCCAAAGATGTCTAGATGACAAAGTGCCATCTTTGGAAGTTATTTAGGTAGAGACTATAATGGTACAAACAAGTTTCTGAAGGGATTTGCAAAAGCACCTCAATTTTGGTTTACATTGGTGATGACGAAGGTGATTTTGAACCTTGCATAAAATACCTATTTGTACCTTTTGCATAGCTTTAGACAGCTTTAAAAAGAGGAGTCGAAGCCAATTCTAAAATTGCATTAACAAATCTGGCCCTTTGGCACTTCCAGGAATGTTCCCCAGCATGCAACCTTTGAAAACATCCAAGCTCTTTTTTAATACTTTTAATCTGCACCTCACCTTACAAGTGCTATTAATATTCATTACAGATTAAGGCCAAAATGAAGATAACAAAGAATTCTTTACAGTTTCTTTTGAGTTAAAACTGGATTTTGCAGAACAATGCAAATGAAAGACAAGAAGATTTCTTTGGATGGTAGCTCTAAAAGCCAGTTATATATATATAGATATATATTTATAGATATTAAAAAGACCTTTTTATTAGTATATAGGTGGAAAAATGCACAGAGTTGTTAGCATGATAAAAGAACTACAAAGGGAACTCACAGCATGGTTTGTTTTTAATTGAGGTGAAAAATGACAAATATAAAGATTTAGAAGCAGCCTTGAAAGCAAACCATTTTCTGCAAATTGACTGGGTGGAATGAGCATTAGGTAATGTGTATTCCCAGAAGTAAGGATCCCTGAGACAAAGCATGAAAGACAAGTGCCAGCTTTTAGTGAAAATAATGCAAATATTAGCAGGAAGAACCTGCTTGGGCTGAATTTACAGGAGCTTGGGAAATCGTGCAGAAATAACCAACCTTCAAACTTTTACCTGCAATATTCCTCTTCACATACCCCCATGTGCCAGTGGTTTGTGAGTAGATGGGGTTAGAGATGCAGCTGGGCTGTCTGTACTGGTTATGATGACCTTACTCCTATTTGTACCAGCTAAGGATCTGTTATGAACATAATCATGTTTTATCCTCAAATGTTCTCTCAAAGATCAATCATTTTAATCTCGTGAACCTGAACCTACTGTAGGCACCTGACCATAATAATCACTGAACCATTCTGGTGCTGTTCGCCGCAGCCTGCTCTCAGCTCCTGGACCACACATCCACAGAAAGATGCGGCAGAGAGATGCTGTTTACCGGGACCTGTGCACCCCTAACTACACTTTAAAAATAGCTTCCCTTTTTGTCTCCCTGCTGGTTGTAAAAAGTCAACAAACAAATAGATTTGGTGGGTGCTTCACAGAAAATCAAGTCTTTTAGCTGCACATTAGAACCAATACTTTCTTGTCCTGCGTTAATGCTGTCCATGCTTTATGATCTGCCGCTGAGACAGAGTAAAAAGCACAGAGGAAAAGAATCACTTTTTTTTTGTATTCCAAATACTGCTTTAATAAGACTGAAAGTCTCTCTCTTTCTCTCCTTATAGCCCTACAGCAAATAAATGGAGGTGTCAGCCCAACACTCTTGTAGGTTTAAACTGAATGGAAGTGTCCTTTTGAAAAGCTTGTTCTGTCTGACAGTCCTGAATGTGCTCCTATTGCAGTTCCTTTGAACACCCAGCTTTTCTGTGTTGGTGCTCTGCTGACACGGCTTTTCGTTGAGTTAAAGATTAACAGAATGCTACAGAATGACAGGACTTTGTGATAACTTAATTGCACAAAACATGGCTGTTCCTGTGCAAATCGGAGTATAATTGGACACTAAGAAATTACTCTCCCTGTACAAAGATGGCAAAGTGGATATTGGACACACATGTGGAATAATAATCTTTTACCTTTTATTATGCTTGAAAAACACAGTTCATAGTTTTCATGATGAGTGTTAGACATGCATCTCATGCCATGAAAGTATTTGATTATGTGCATTAAACATAAAGTCTGAAAGCCCTAAAGCCTCCTTCGTTTTCAGTACGTTCTAACTGCTGACATTGGAATTAACATAACAATGTGAGAGCTCTGCAATATGCTCGTAAATTGTGAATCATAACGGACATACCTTTCAGAGGTCCCAGGGTATTTACCAGCTAGAGAGAACATGGCAGAAGCTCTTTGAAATGAGAAAACAGCAAAGAAGTTCCCTGCAATTTTTTGTTACAGTTAGGTTTGGGTAAGGGGAAGTGTGGGGTTATAGCTTCATATAAACAAATACCAAAACCCAGATAGAAAAATTATACTATCATCACAAAAGGAAACCGTTTCAAGGCAATTGCTGCAACCCAGACTAAAGGGCTGTGCTACAGAGCAAAAGGAAAAACAAGGTTAAAAAAGAAAGTGATGTGTGAGGACCACAGAATGGGTGAAACTATTTACGGAGCAATTTAAGACTTTAACTATAGCAAGGGATCATAAACCCAAGTACATGAGCTAAGCCCTGCCTCATGTGGAAAGAGCACAATTACAGTGCTTCCCATCCTTCTCCCCCAGCGCTTCACTGCGGAGGCCCAACACTTCAGGAATGCTAAAGCACAACGGAATGGAAATGGTATTGGAACAGAAAGAGCCTCCCGAAATGAACTGTGCGCAGCCCGTTGTGTTGGCATGATTGATACTGGAGCATGTAGGTGTAATGAAACTGATGCTGTCTCTTCTGCACCTGTGATTTATTGAGTACAAATTTAAGATGAGAAAAGGCCCCATACCAGGAGCTGCATCTTCCCCCTCAAAGAGGGTATGGTCATCCATCACCAGCCATTGCAAAAGGCCCAATAGTGAGCGGCTCATCAGATGAGCCAATAGTCTCTTTGTTGGGATTCCTAACAAGTGTTGGATCAGCAAAAGTCTATTTAGGCTGGTGGACCTTTCAGGACCAATTTGTAGTGGGTCACTGATTCTGCTAGTGTATTATCTTCTTTACTACTAGTACCAGTTGGGCAAGCAGCAAAGATTAATGATTTTAGCTGCCGACTGTTTGTGGCAATCTACTGTTTCTGGACCAAAGATTAAGATTTTTTCATGCTTTACTAGAAAGGACACACCTTTTATCCTGGACCCGTTTTTATGTGCTGAGTTCTGTACAAATAATATATATTAAAACAAAAAATAATAGGCATCTCAGCTGCCTTTCTAGTGGCAATAAAAAGGATTTTTGCTGGTGCATAGCACAACAGAAGAGGGTTTTGCAAGGGAATAATAAAACTTGAAGATAAGAGTAAGTTTCATTCTCATTGGGCTAGAGAACATGGCACAACACAGATCTTTTTCCCATCCCTCAATACACAGTGCTGAGAAAATGCAAAGACCTCCCTCCCCCTCTTTAAAAGAAGGGGAAGGAGGGAAATGGGGCTCTCTATAGCAAGAGCTCATTCTCCTGGTTGATCTTTCATTATTTTTCGCAGCTGAAATCCCCAGTATAATGGATTTGGACATAGTGCAAAATAACTCAAGCCGCATCCCAGAAGAATGGATTAGTGCAGGAGCCCCTTGGCTTTGGTGGACCTGCCAGGGCGCTGAGTGGCTTTGGTCACTTCTGAAGCCAGTTTCTTCAAAAATGATGATGCTGTGTCTGTATCACTGGAACAGAGCAACACAGAACAGTGACTGACAACTTCCAAGAAAGCAAACAAGGGAGGGGAGAGACTTTGGTTAAATGTGTCTTTTCAGAGGTATGAACTGCCTCCCATCAGCCCATTAGCAAACTCCGAGATAAGCTTCCAAGCTCAAGGGGTGGTGTAGGAGGACACTGGGAACTTGCAGAGAAATGCCACAGGCTCTTTATTGTAAGAGACCTGGTGCTGCTTAGCTCCTTGAGCCGAGAAGAGACAAGCCACTGCTGAAGAAATTGGAAGTGGAAATGTAATGACAGCCAAGTAATTCTGCTGTTGGAAAGAAGAAGTGGCAGAACCAGGACAAAAGAACCCCAAGCTGCAACACTTCCAGAAGCTCCGATCCAAGCTTTCACTATCAGTATTACCTGCCTGAAGCAGTGCGATGTGCTAGAGACTTCCCAGCAGCTGGGAAGGAGGTTGCAGCTCTGTCAGGCAAAGGTCAGGCCACCAGGAAGATAGGAGGACCCAGCAGTGAGAAAATGGTACCGGCACCAGCACAATCCCTGCAAAGGACTCAGCAGGAATTGATCTTTGCAGAGGGCTTCCGCGGCACATGGGTCAGGGCTTGGGTGAGCTCTGGGAAGTCCTGTGAGCTCCTGCAGCTTTCCCAGCCCCTGTGAAATTAAAGACATTGCACAGCAGCATTTCCACAGGAAAGCCCAGGATTTTCCCTCAACTGAAAACCAGGACAAAGCACCCAAGTGCGTGAAAAACGCACTCATCAAGGATCTAATTTTTAAAGGGAAGAATTCTATAAATGACCTAATATAAAAGTGATCTAATTGTTTCCACAACTGCTTCTGAAATTACCAGGGCCTTTTCTCCTTGTTTGTCATTGTTCATGGAGTCATAAATCACAACCCGGGCGATCACTCAGCTCTTGACAATTTGCAGCTATACTACCAGGTCTAGTGTTCATCCGGGCTGTGATCACTGACAAGCTGTTACTTAGCAGTTGACAGGTTCAAAATAGCACAAACTGCAAGGTTACCACCAAGTAAAGAGCTTTTAATTTCTTTTTTTACATGCTTATCTTCTCCTGTTGCGAGCACTATCAGAAAACATGGATATTCCATTCTATGTTGCAAAATCACACTATGAAATCTGATGTGAATATGAGTTTCCTTCTGCACTCTTTCCTGAAATATTGAGCTATTTCATAACTCAGGTAAAGGTCTCTCATTTTGAAGGACGCTTATTCAAACAAGTTTTCCATGTGTTACATGGAGGATGTTTTCTTACTTTGACTGCTGAAACAGGCTTTCACCAAAACCAGAAAGCATGGAGAACTGAAGTTTTAGGAAAACTGTCAACCTTTCAGAAAAACAAACAGCACAGCGTTGCATCTCACACCTTCTTATTCTGTGGTGGCCGTCTCTCTGGATTTATCCTTGGTGGCATTTGGTTCCTGGGAGAGAGGTGCTGGAGCCAGAGCTCCTCTGTTGGAAGCGGATGGGAAAGCTGCCGGTCCCGTTCAGCTGCCTGCACAGCGCTGTGGCATAGCAAAGCAAACAGCGTGACTGGCAACAAAGACAGGGTGATGACATATGTATTTTAAATCCCAGCTAGCAAAACAACAGTAGGTGTTTCTCAAATTTGATCCTCCGGATGACAAACACTCTCCTCTCTTTTGTTCCCCAACATAATTGAGCTTGCCCTTTTTGCAGCTGTATTTCATTCCCTGTTCACTTGCAGATGTGTTTTGACATTGCTTAGTGAGCCTGGGCTGTATTTTAAACACATAGTTAAGGAAACTGGGGTGCATCTGGCACTGGGAAACACCACATTGGAATCTCTCTTCTCCTCTCATATGAATGGTAGAAAGCGTCCTGCCTAAACACATCACAAATAATCATACCATATTTAAAGCTCAGACTCATTCCTCTAGGCACTTTCTTGGATTTAATACCATCAAACAACAAAAAAAAGATACTAAATATTAAGTTGAGACCATAACTTCTGGGAAATTCCCTGGGCAGTCTTCTTTTTGGGATGGTCATCCCATGTACTGCAGCTCCTTTCCTTAAGGAAACTCTCCCATACCCAGGGAAAGTAATATAAACATTTTTTTCAATGAATCATCGGAGAGTGAGCTAACCTTTGCTCAGAAGGACCAAGCACTTGACAGAAAGTTGGGGCCAAGGAATCAACTTTCCTGACCCATGAAAGAGCTACCAAGAAACTCATTTAATAACTGAGCGTTGGCAAGGGGAGAGACAGTGTTGTGGTGTACATCTAAAGCAGCTATGTTGGAAGAGAAATGGGCATTACCTGTGGCAGGAGACAAAGTTGTACAAAGTCTTTTACAGTAGGGAAAAGTGAAGAAATGGAAAAAAAACCCAGCTTGTGGTAATCTTGTAGTGCAGTGTTTTGGGTGTTTCTTTGGGTTTTTTAATCCTCCTTCCTGGGAGGACATAGCCTTTTTAGGTGTTCCTTCTTTGATTTTGGCATGGTTTCATGATGCCTTGGAGCACAAGTGGAGGACACTGGTAGGCAGTGTGCTAGGTAGGGGTCAAGCACTAAGCTCAAACTTTTCCCAAACCTTGGCTGGAGAGCAAAGGCATCTCCTCATGGCCTGGAATGGGGAGGATGTACCTGTGGGAGAGCTACATGCTGCAGGGCACTTTCCTGCGTCCTCCCAGCTAAGGTACAGGTGATGGAAACATTCCTTGCCCTTGCTGGAAACCCGTTAGATGTCAAGTCCTCCTGCTTAAAAATTAAAACACCCTGAATGCAAAGATCCTTTGCAAAGGGCAGAGCTGTAACAACCGGAGACTTTGCTTCCTTTTCACTCCGAGTAGAACATTATCGTATCCAAGTTCAGACTTGGATACAGCTTCTTCCCTCCTGAATTCAAAGGCAAAGTGCACAGCTGGCCTGGGATCCGGTCTTCTGTCTACAGAATCCTTGCCTTAAAGGAAGATCAGATCTCTGCTGGTGGCACTCAATAGCTAGAGCAGAACAAAAGGGCAGCTGGTCAGAAATTGCTCCATGAACCACAGCGGGCCTCCGAGCAAAGCCAAGCAGCAGCACTCTGATGTCTTTGCATGGAGACCTGGTGGAGCACTTAGGGCAACATGGCATGAAGCAATGTGTCATCCTTACACCAAAACAGAGTGAGCCCCTGTGTAAGGGGAGTCCAGGACACAGGCTGAATGCACACAAAATCATCAGCTCCAAAGAGCTGCTTCCAGATTGCCTCCCTTCCAGAAAACTACTACCAGCCTTGCATATGCACCTTCCTTTAGATATTTAGGGTGATGGAGCAGCAATATCCCAGCTCTACCACAAGAGATTTTTAGCCAGTTAAGGAGGCACAAAGAGGGCAAGTGACATGACCAAGGCCACAGAGGAAATTAGTGGCAGGGCAAAACCCCTGATTCTTCTCCCACTCCCCCCCAATTTCCATTAGTTGCTCAAACTCCTGGAAGGTTGTGCTTATAGAAACCAACAGGAGTTTCAGTGGTTTAAAGGTCAGGCCCAAGCATAGCAAAACCCAGGGGCAAAAATGGGCTTCTCCTCTCCCTTCCCTCCAGCAAGTGTAAAGCCCAACACTCCTTCACTGGAGTCCCTTGAATAAAGAGAAGCTTCTGGGAGCACACTGAGCAAATGGGTTATTTTGAAAGGACAAGTTAGCTCTATAATTTGCCTTCACAATGTGTTCTGCACTCTAATTACAAATGCAAACACAGTAATTGAGAACAGCATCATAAAACTCTTAAGGAAGCCATAAGTGATATAATACATGGACATGTTTACCATTTGGTGCAGCAGGATGCCTCTGTGATGCTTTCCCCATGCTTAAACAGGGTGGAGATTTGCTTTTCTTTCATAAAGTTAATTCCATGAGAGCAATTCTTCCCTCAGCCTCCCTGCTCCCGAGCCTGAGTCAGTTAAAATACAGCTGCTGGAAAACATTTCCTCTCTTTTCTCAAGTGAGAAAAACACCTTTTCCTTTGAAAGATAATAAAATTGTTAATTAAAGCTGTTCTAAAGGGAATCAAAAGGGGAAGATCTTAGTGTGTTCTCCACCTGTCACCTCCCACTCTTGCCTGCAATGGCAAATAACTCAGTAGAGTGAAATACAGAAGGGATTGAGGGCTGTACTGCTGCTCACCCCATCTAAACTGTCCTTGGGGAGACTTCAGTCCTTCCAGTGGTTCACAGTAGAGGGGCTCCCCATGCAGCTTTCCTCCAGGAGCCCACTGCCTGGAGGTAACCTTGATGCTCTCCACCCGTTGAATGATCTCTGCCATGTGCTGGGTGTGGAGAGAGTTCAATGTCCCAGTTTTTCACAGTGAGAGAAGGGTGAGTAGTTTTGGCTGATGAATGGCAAATGAAGTCAGGCAAGCTGCTCACAGGCTGGCTGAGAGTTTTCTGCATGGATGGACAGCATCCTGCCCATGGTGCAGTCCCACATCCTTGCCTTCATCCACTTTTTCCCTTTTTGCCCTTCCTCCTCTGTCTCTCAGATCTCCCCTCCCATGTCAAACTGGGGTCCTGCTCCAACAAAGACTTCTAATCAAGGCAAAGTCTATGGGCTTTAAAAGGCTTCCCAGAGAACAGAGAAACAGAAGAAAAGTGTAAATATAAATGTAATATCAACCTTGTCCTCTGGAAAGGGCCTTTGGGATGCTGGTGTTAGGGAGGAGTGAACAGGAGGGATGCTCAGTTCTTCAGGGAGTTCTGCAAGATGAATGGTGGGACCATTTGCAAAGGAACCAGGTAGCAACAAATATACCAGGAGAGGATTAGGGCTGGTGTGCACTGACAGGGTCCTACAAGCTTCCCTGAGCTTAACAGCTGCTAAATAACATGACAAATCATGTGATTCAAACCAGAAGGGTTCAACCTGCCGTTGGAGGTTGATGCAGACGGGTGTCCTCTGCCGCTCGCTCGCGCACACATCCCGTCTCTTTACATTTGCTGAAAGCTGCTGTGGCCTGAACTTCAGAGGTGCTGAGTGCCTGCAGCTCATCATGACAGGCTATACATCAAACCCATCACCTCTTGGGAAACTTGATTGCCCTCATGGAAACCCTCGTTTCAGACATTTAACCGGTTCCTACTGGCTTCAGCCAGCCAGCTAGGTTTTGGAATGCATCACTTCATTTGGGCTGTACTAATCCTACAGGTGAAATAAATCCAAGTCCACAAAGACCAGGGTAGGAATCTACTGAAATGTCAAGAAAGGTATCAATTAAAATAAAACATACCCCAAAATGCTGTTTTTAAAACACTGAACCAATAAAAATAACTCATACTTGGCTGGTTAGAGCTGTTCATCAGGTGACTTGCTGCTGAACAGATGTCTCCAGCTGGGAATTCTTGGATGAAATTCTCTATCTTCTCCTTTTTTATATATAAACTACTTATTAAAGAAGTACTTTAGAGGTTTGAAACATGTGTTAATTCAAGCCAGGAAAAAAAAAAAAAAAATAAATCAAAACAGAAACCACACGTAGATTGCCAAGAGAGAGGTTGCTGAGGTGTGATCACAGCTTTAAGGGGTGAAGCTCTTTATGTGAATCTTTGAAGGATGAAAACGCAGTTATTAAAACCCCTGGAAATACAGAGTTAAGGCTGAACATACACAGGGCACTCATTCTGAAAGCATGGAGACCCCTAGAGAAGGCTGTCCATGAGGCTCTATTCTGGTTTTCCACACTGCTCAGAAAACATACAATGTGGTAACTCAGTGAGTACATGGAGATTAGTTCACAGCAGTTAGAATTGGGTCTTTTTCCTAATTTTTCAGCCACAATGGGTGTTAATATATATTAAAAGCCTAATTAATATCTGTCTTAGTACTTAGCCAAAGTCTCTGCCTGGAAAAGGAACAACAGAATCTGATATAGGATGGGTATATATTGATTGCTGCAGGAGCTGTTTCTTTTCTACCTTAGAGGGTACATGCTAGAAATTTTAGTGTGCATTTTGCCTCCATTAACATACAAGGAATTGATCCCACCAGAGGAAAACAAGGTGAAATTATTTCCTATGGTACAGCAAATCTGAATTGTCCGTAGAATTGCCATTAAAATAGATGCAGAAACGAAGCATCTTTCCCTGACCACCTCTCATTCTCGCTGCTGCCTGCACTCACTCTCACTGCTCCTCTCCTTGCTGTGTTTTGCTGTGAGCCCTCTCTCCAGCCAAGGAGATGTGGCCATTATTTATGGGATCTCAGAATGACCCATACAGCATCCAGGCAATTTGGCTGGAGAGCATTTAGCTGGGGAAGCAGTGGGTGAGAACTCACAGCAGGGCTGTGTTGCCTGCACTCCTGCACAAACAAATGTCACTGCTCTGCAGAGAAGCTCTGGGAGCAAAGAAATAGAAACTGCAGCTTGCCCCAGGGACAGCAGTCAGCCCCATCAGCCCCCCCCCATGCCCTGGCCCAGCCCTGGTCCTCTTAGACCTGCTGCTCTTGACCCTCAGGATCCTTGTAGTGGCCAGTGATGGGAACATCTCCAGCTTTCCTAGGGCCTTGAGGGCTAGGGAGGTTGAAGCTGGGAGGTGTTCACAACATAGAAGCACACAGCACACAGCTAAAACACAGCTTTATTTCCCAAAGATGAAATGGCAAGTTGCACTATGAGCCAAATATCTTGCTAGGGCAAACAGAGCATAATTTACACTCTGAGGCTGATTTTAAATCATTTGATCTGGGGCTATTCATGGCTGTAGATCTGTTTACATGTAAAAGAAACAAAGATGAGGAACCTTTCTCTTTCCTCTGTCTGGGTAACAGCCAAAGGAGTGTTCCTCGGACAAACAAGGAGAACAAACAAAAGCACTTGCCCAGAATTATTCCCTTTCTTTGTTGTATTTCCTCTTCTCATGTTTAGGGCTTAAGAATGTTTGGGGAGGAAGGTGAAGGCTTGTGGAAGCCACCTCGTCTCCAGTTTAACTCATCTTTACCTCTCAGAAATATGCAAAAGGACTTTAATTTCACTGCATAACAGCTTTCTACTAAATACTTTCCTTCTGCACCTGGATCTATCTGTCAGGGCTAGCATAGGAAGGTAGCTTCATTTCTTTAGGTGAATAGAGACCTTAATTCCCAAAGAACACAATATACCTGATCCTTCCTCTTCTGATCAACAGGAGCACAGAAGCTGCTAACCTGACCAGTACATCAAAAAGGAGCTTGAAAACTACTTTGAGCAAAAAATGCTAACGGTGCATCCTTCTCCTGTAACGGCACTGATATTAAATCAGGAAACAGTATAGAACAACCACAAGCACATATATACAGGGGCTGTCAAAACAGAAACAATACAAAATCCCTAATGGGGACTAAAGGTGCAAAGAGCAGAAAGAAGAACACGCAGCACAGGCTTTATGATTATATTTAAATCCTTATGCAGCAAATGCTGGAAAGGGAATTCCAAACATTTTCTATATATAAGCAGTTTTTTTGATCCAGGACTTTGTGGAGTGAAAAGGAATTACAGATCAGTTGGAATGAAAGGGTAGGGGTCCCTGGGGGTGCTGGAGCATGCCCAGGGGCTGCAAGGGCCCCTGATCCTGCAAGGGCCAACGGCTATGCTCAGCTCAGTGTGAACAGCCTCCTGGTGCTGCAGTGCTGGTCCTCCTGAATAGGTGCTGCATGGTCCTGAGTTTCCTCAAGCACAGCTGAGGCCCTATCTTCCTTCCCTCCTTCTTAACCATCTAAAGCTCTGATCATCAAGAAAGCCTCCAGCTGAGCCTCTTGGAAAACAGGCAACAGGCTGAGGGCAGAAAGGGATGCTGACCTTCTCTGGAAGATCTCCTGGCTGCTCATGACTTTGTGACATCAGGTACAGGTCCAGGACACTTCCCCTGTCTCCCTGACATCTCTCTTTTCCATATCCCTTACAAGGAAACCAAACTCTCTTGGGAAGATCACTTTTCCCACCCAAACACCTGTGCAGTGCCTCTGGATTTGCAAGAGAAGCAGATAAGCAGGAGAGAATTCTTTTCTAGTAAGATGTGGTCCAAGTTCTGAAGTGTTGGAAAAACCTTTGAATGGCACAAAATGCAACTGCAAGATATGACTGCAGTAGAGTTCTTGAGCTTCTGCTGGCTACTTCCATCCCAAAAGGCAAGTTCTGATCACTCAGAAAGGTTTTGGTGCTGCTTATTAGTAAAATGCTCCTAAAGGGGCTCTGATAATGAATTCAGCATGCCCTGGATCAAGTGGGAAGCAGAACTCAGCCCAGCACAGGAGCAAAGCTGATTCTAGCCAGGTTTGAACAGGGGATTTTGTGCTTCTGGCTCAGGTGGTTTTGCTAGAAACAATTTTTACCGTGGTGACAAGGGCAGCAATAACATGAGTATGTATCAGAGAGGGGCCTATGCTGAGACTGCAGAGTTTGGAAATTATGAGAAAGAGACACATTCTCTTGAGAACAAGTTTGGATTGACTCATTCAGGGGGCTAAGGCTGTGAGAAATAACCAGAAGAAGAACGTTTCTGCTGTCTGCTTACCTCCCTGCCAAAGACACCCTCATGGGACGTTGTAGAAGAGGGTGAAGTGTTGCCCTTTCAGCTCCAATACACCTCCTTTCCCCCCCCAGGGCGCAGCCAGACCCCGACCCGCTGCCGAGTTGCGCTCGTTTCTCCGCACACAAAGGCAGGAGGCAGCAGCCCCATCCCCACCCCTGGCCACGCATCCCTGCGGCGCGGGATGACCCCAGCAGCGGGGGCTCCCCGGGTCCTGCAGCGCAGGGACGCGGAGCATCGCCCCAGCGAGCGCTGCCGCGGGGCCCCCGGGACCCCCCTCCCGGAGCCGTCACCGCCCGCAACCCCCCCGGCAGCCGCGGGGTGCAGAGGGAGCTCGGGACGGGCAGGATTCACCTCCAGCCCCGGGAGCAGGCCCTCACCACCCCACCCCCCCCGGTCCCGACACCGCCGAAGGCACGGGTTTAATTAAATGTTGTGCTCTCAAATCACACACTTCCCCCCCAAACCGCGCCGTCCCGCACAGCAACACCCGCAGCCGCTCTCCGGGACCACTCGCACCGAGCCCAGCCCCAGCCCCAGCCCCAGCCTGGATGTGTTGCTGGGGACTGCGAAGTCTCGGGGAAGAAATATCCCCCCCCTGCCACCTACCCTTCGGAAGTGCTGCTCCGCTCCCTTGTCACATATCCACCTGGGAAAACCTGGCTAAAGTTAGTACTGGGATTTGCCCCGCTCCTAACTGGTTCGAGGCTAAAACCTTGAAGAGGTCCCAGTTAACCCAGGAGGGTGCGATAGCTTATTTTGTACTGCAAAGTTGCTCTGAGACTGCCCAAAGAATGTTGCGCGCTTTACTTTGACGATCCCAGCAGAAAAGGGAAAGAGAGAGAGAGGAAACAAAGACTTATGATCACCATTAGTAATTTAATCCTAAATTCGTGGGCCATTCCCATCAGCCCGAACAAGCAAACATCAACACTTTCCTTTCTCATGCCCATCTATCTGCGATAGATGATTAACCAGGTCCCTCGCTGCTTACACAGGGAAATACATCCTGACGAGCAGCACGGTGTCTGCTTGCAGTTTGGGAAATTAAACAGCGGCGGCGGGGGGGTAAGAATTAGGGAAGTGACAAAGCAACCCTTTTCCTGCGGTGGTGCGGCTGCTGGACAAGGGGGATTCTTTAACAAAGCCCCCATTTCAGCCACTGTGTCCCACGAATGCGTTGGGGTGAAGAAGCTAATTCCAGGGCGGGAAGTAGCAGTCAGCTGCCAAACTCGAGAAGCGCTTCCCGGAGAACGAGTGGAAAATACATATATAACAGTCCTATTCTTTATCAGTTACCTGAATCTGCCGCTTCAAAGAATTGGGGATTGGGATGGGCATCGTAAATGTGTAAATGTCACCTCCCGATTCAGACAGAAAACGCCCAAACCAAGCACATATATATATACACGCTATACATACATACGATGTATATATAATATATATAAGCTTCTCCAGTTTTGAGGACGAACTTTCAAATTTCAGGGACAAGACACTGCGATGACACCCTCGTTTTCTTTGAACTCTTCCCGATTTTGGCAGGGAGTTTGCGAAGGGGAAGGTGGGGAGGAGGGAGACCTGGAAGAAGTTGTTCTGTGCTCGGAAGTACCCTTCAAAAAAACGGATTTAAAGCATAAAAAGCTAAAAAGAGAAATAAAACCAAGCCACTGGATTATCAGCTTTGGAGTGCTGGGAGAAGGTCGCAGTTAAACACCGATGCCTCGGAGGGGTCGAAGGGGAGCTGACGGGTACCGCTTTTCCTCCGCGGACGCAGAGCGGACGGGACGGGTCGCGACGGGACAGAACGGAACGGGTCGGGAAGCCTTCCCGCGGAAGCCCGGAGAAGGAAAACCTTCTCCGCGTTGACCAGCGGAGGCTTTTAGGGTGCGGGCGGCCGCGCAGAGGGGCTCCCCCAGCGCGCAGCACCGAGGCTGTGGCCGCCCTGCCCCACGGAAGGGAAACTCGCTGCTTGCTGGGCTGCTCAGCCCAGGAATCCTCCTCTGGTGCTCCAGCAACATGATTTCTTCCCCAGCCCTTAAGAAATAAATAGGTAGCACGGAGGAGCATCCCCCCACCTAACATACACGTCCGAGCGAGGATAACCTCGGGTGGATGAGTTAAAAGCTCTACAATAAACAAAATTGGCCTTTAATCGGGGATTCGGGGCACTTCAGCCAGCCGCGCAGAGCCGCAAGTTTTGCTGGATGTGTTTCGTAAAGGGGAGCGAGGGATGGAAAAAGCAAAGGAACGGACTCAAAAAGCGCCCCGAAATTTTATGACGGTGAGGATGGACGCGCCGAACTGATCTGTCATTCACAGTTTAAAAGACTGAGCAAAAGGACGCAGCATGTGTGGACAGGGAGATATTCAGATCGATGCTTCCTCCGCCTTTCAGTAGCTCCACCTTGTGAAGATACCTCAGTAATTATGAGAAGGAAAAGTATTCTCTAGCTAATGGCAGGTTTCTCGGGACTGCTGCTCAGCTCCCCGAGCTCGCCAGGGTCCCCTCTCCCCCGCTGCCGCCGGTAACGCTTAACGTGCAGGTACAAATACCGCTCTGCCCAGCAGCTTCCAGGACCTCATAAATAACAACGGCAGAGGACCGGCCGCGGGGTCTCTGCTCTCCCCGGCCCTGGGAGGCAGCCGAGCTGCTGCTCCGATCCGCTGGCCCGAGCGGCCGGATCCCGGCCCCCCCCCGGGCCCCTCTCCTCCTCCCTGCGCCTCCGGGCCTCTCGTTAGCCGCGGAAAGACGGCGATTCCCCAAACCTGGAACTGATGGGAAAGCAGCAGTGCGGGGCCCGTGCGGACCCCGGAGCCCCAGCACCGCCGGGGCTGTGTCGCCCGGGGGGAACGCAGGGAATGCCGGGGACGGGGGTATGTCCAGGCGTGGGGAGCCCCGGGGCTGGCCGCTATCCACTGGGAGTGATGTTCACCCCGAAAGCATCGCGGGGAAAAACTCCAGCAAGGTACTGCCACCCGCGATGAAGCCGCTGTGCTGAGAATGGGGTTCACCCAAATCCCCCTCCCGGGTCCCCTCTCCCCTCTCCAGCCCGCTGCCGGCGGGAGGGACCCCCGGCAAACTTTCTGGGGGGTGAGGATGGCACTTGGGGCGACTTTCACCTCCTCGGTTCCCTGCGCGGCCGCGGCCGGCTCCGCAGATCTGTGAAGGAGCGGAAGCACCGCGGCCGAGCTGCGGGCATCTCCCGAGGCTGCGACTAGGGCTCGGCCCCAGGGTTGGGAGGGGGAATTTGGCAGTGTTATCCTTGCTCCAGAGAGGCAGCTCCCTCCTCATTCATTTCTGGGGCGCAGCAGATCTACAGGTCTCGAACTTTTCCGTTCTTCTGGCTAAATAAATTGGGGTGGGGGATAAGGGAGATGCTGAAGCGCAGCTCCGGAGCGGCGCGGCCGGGACGGGACAGCACGGGATGGCAACAGCCCCGTTCCCGTTCCCGCTGCCGGTCCCGATTCCGCCTCCCTCCGCTTCTTTCCCTTTTCTCCTCGTGTTTTTATCCCTTGAAAAGTATCTGTTATTTCTGCAAACGGACACTTGGGGTCGCACTTTCTGTCTGTTTGAGCGTAAAAACAGCGCAAAAAGAAGCCCTAATCTCCCTTAATCGTTACAAAATGTTCAAAAAAAAAAAAAAAAACAACACCAAAAAACAAAACAAAACCCCAACCCAACCAAAAAGAAAAAAGAAAAATCCTGTTACCGGACAAAAAAAAAAAAACAAAAAAACAACCCAAAACAAAACAAAACCAAAACCTAAAATCCCTGCACGGCCAGTGCTCCTTTGCATGCAGGCCCTCACGCAGGGAGCAGCAGAGGAAAGCAAACACGGTCCCCTCAGAGCTGAAATGTAATTATATTTCCTCCCTTCTCTCCCTAACATTTGCGGCGGTTTGTGTCAATGCCTTTGCCTCACTTTAGGGACAGATTCGCTTCCTGTCACCGGGAGATTTCCCCGGTAGTACGCGGGGAGCTGCCCCTCGGCCGCCCCCAGCCCCAGCGCTGGCTCCCAGCCGGACCCGCTCACATCGGGAGCGGCCACAGAAAGTTTGAAAGGGGCGATGGGAATGCGTGGAGCGGGGCGCAGGGGGGTGAGTGTGTGACCAGCTTCGGACGTGCTGCGGGACGGCAGCGGGCACGGAGGGACTTTGTCACGTTTAGAACAAAGGGACGGGAGGGAGGGGGATGTCCCCAAACCCCCCGCCCCGATCCTCCGGGGATCGCAGAGACTGAGAGGGGTGTAAGGAAGCGCAGGAGGAGCGGTGCGGTGGAGCCGAGGAGCGGGCGGGGAACGCCCGGCGGGGAGCGGCGGCCGCTCCTCCGGCGCTGCGGAGCTGTCACGGCGCGGCCCGTGCCCGCCCCCGGCCCGCCCCCGGCCCCGCCACCGCCCGCCCGGCCCGGCCCCGCCGCTGCGCTGCCATTGGCGAGGCCGCCGCCGGCCCCGGCCCCCGCCGCGCTCTCGGCGGGCACGGCCGTATAAGAAGCCAAGGGGGGCTGCGCTGCGAGCACAGCTGCACAACGAGCGCTGGCGGCGGCCGCAGCGGAGCCCCGGTCCTGCTCGTGTCCCCTCTCCTCCTTTTTTGTTTTCTCCCCTCCTTCCTCCCCTCTTCCCTCCCCTTCCCCCGCGCCGCCCGAGCCCGCCGGCGCTGCCCGGCACAGCCCAACACCCAGCGCGCTGCCCCGGCCGCCGGCCCGGGCTGGAAAGTTGCGACAGACTCCGGTGCTCTGCACCGCGGGGGGAAGGCTCCGGACTTACAAAACCCAGACGGTTCGCACCGCTCTGCTTCCTGCACAGACCCGAAGGCAGCATCTTTGTTTTGTTTTGCTTTTGCCCTTCCTCGCTCCTTTCTCCTTGCGACCGGGCGCGTCGGTGCCAGGAGCTGCTGCAGCTTGCGGCGCGCTGCGTGCTCTCATACAAAAGGGCAGGAGACATCCAGGCGGCCCCGGCTCGTCCTTGGCTTTGTTGTCCTGACTGAAGAAGCTCCAGAAGCCGGGAGAAGGAGGCGGCGGTGGAGGGGGAGCGGAGGAAAGGAAGCGAGAGAGCAGAGCCAGGGCTGGTTTGGAATAGGGGAGCGCGGGCAGCCCCCTGCCAGGCTGCGCGCTGGGGTGAGGTCTCCAGCCCCTCCGCCGGGAGAGGTGCCCGCAAGACAGCGATGGCCGGAGAGCTCAGCATCGGAGCCGAGCTGCCCACTAGCCCCCTGGCCATGGAGTATGTCAACGACTTCGACCTGATGAAGTTCGACGTGAAGAAGGAGCCCCTGGGCAGGAACGACCGCTCGGGCAGGCACTGCACACGCCTGCAGCCTGCCGGCTCCGTCTCCTCCACCCCCATCAGCACGCCCTGCAGCTCCGTGCCCTCCTCGCCCAGCTTCAGCCCTACTGAGCAGAAGACCCACTTGGAGGACCTGTACTGGATGGCGAACAGCTACCAGCAGATGAACCCCGAGGCGCTGAACCTCACCCCGGAGGACGCTGTTGAAGCCCTCATTGGGTCCCACCAGGTGTCCCAGCAACTGCAAGGCTTCGAGAGCTTCCGGGCCCACCATCACCACCATCATCACCATCACCAGCACCACCACCAGTACCCTGCCGTCACTCATGAAGACCTGGCCGGCAGCGGGCACCCTCACCATCACCACCACCATCACCACCAGGCCTCTCCCACTCCCTCCACCTCCTCCAGCTCCTCCCAGCAGCTCCAGAACTCGCACCAGCAGCATCCCCCCTCCAGCAGCGTGGAGGACCGGTTCTCAGATGACCAGCTGGTCTCTATGTCCGTGAGGGAGCTCAACAGGCACCTCCGAGGCTTCACCAAAGATGAGGTGATCCGCCTCAAGCAGAAGAGGAGGACCTTGAAGAACAGGGGCTATGCCCAGTCCTGCAGGTATAAACGTGTCCAGCAGAAACACCACCTGGAGAACGAAAAGACACAGCTCATTCAGCAGGTAGAACAGCTCAAGCAAGAAGTGACCCGGCTCGCCAGAGAGAGAGACGCCTACAAGCTCAAGTGTGAGAAACTTGCCAGCAATGGCTTCAGAGA